CATCTCAGCATGGCCATGCAATTTCCTCAATCATAACTTATCAGTGGGCCCCATAAGACATTAATCTCTTTTAAAAAGAGTAGTGACAAATCCTATGTACGTAATCTACGTTTCTGAATACGCGCTGCGGCATACCCAAAACAAAGCCTGTATACCATCCTTATTTCATATGGCTTAGGACAATGCATCAAAGTATGCGTGTTCACATATGCAGAAAACATAATACTTCAAGTCGAAGGATAGTTACACCCGTGATCGCGTTAAAGATGCTTAGAGCATGAACTAAGAGTTCAAGCAACATCTTTAGGATGGGTCAGTCCGGCATCGTATTATCTCCAGATAATATCTGCCCATGTGCGGATGCGAACACGCTGTCATTGACTATGAGACTAAGTCAAACATCCAACACACACTAGTCTCACATGCATTAACGATATCCTACTCTCGTTAATACTCGACTATGGACATTTAGATAAATATTTATTTCAAGATGTTAGTCTCATCAGCAGAGAAACAGTATCTGATAAACATCTTTAAATATAAATCTAGGAATATAATATTTGTTTACATTAGCATGAGATGTGTAAACATATTATATCTGCCTATACATGATAGGATAACGATGAACAGTTGGCCATCAGGGCACAACTCCAAGGGTACGGGAGGAGGTGATCGTGGTCGGTGGATGCGGCAATCGTCATGTTGATCATGACAAACTTTGCCCAATTGATTGGGGCCGAGTGCATGATCGCATGGATGAGCTTGAGGTCTTCACCGGACATGATGGTGTGGCCGTGCTTCCTGGGTTTGATGATTCGGGAGACGATGTAGAGAAGAAGACAGCCTTCGGGGTTAGCGGAGTGGATGGTTGGGCGGCCCGAGGCATGGCGGATGAGCTCGGTTATCCCAAGCTCGTTGAGGATAAGGCCCTCGTTGTTGAGCACCCAGTCCTCTCCGCCATAGAGGGAGACGTCGTCGCCTTGGTAGGGGAGGCCGGCGATGCGCCCAAGCTGCTCAATTGAAAGTTCTATTGGCGTGCTCTTGACAAGAGAATAGAGCACGTCGCCCTCACGCCGGAGGTTGGAGTAGAAGACCCGAATAACCGCCGGGTTGATCTCCTTCTGAGCCCGGGAGACGAAGGGCAAAAGGCCAGCCTGATGAAGCTGCGCGTCGAGGTCGTTGTAGCCCTGCAGCTCCGGGTAGCGCTCTGGGATGATCCGTGGAGGAGCCACAACCCGTTTAGAGAAGAAAGTGAGGAAACGGGTGCGTTCCTCCTCGGAATCAAACCAAAGGTATGACCCGTCACCATAGTAGAGGCGTTCCTCGGTGGATGTCGTAGGCGCCCGGGATTTGGCCTTGGATTTGCCGGAAGCTCCTGCCCTGTTCTTATCTTTGCCCATGATGAAGAAATCTCAAGAGAAGAGAGTAGAAATGATGAAATAAGCAAGGATGTTGAAGAGAATTGTGTTTGTGTGTGTAAAAGTGAAGAGAGGAGGTCCC